AGTAGTTGTACGTTCCGTGGGCTGCTTTGTTATTTTATTTTTTGGGACTATATTTGAGGGATTATCGTCCCTCTTGTTCGTGCCTGCAAAAGCTAACTAAGGTGTTTCATTTTTTCGTTCGTTTTTTTTGTTGTTGTTATGGTTTCACGTCAACGGATAATTTGTGTTTCACGTGAGTTTCAATTGTTTTCATCTGAATTTCTTGGGATTTTCAAGGCTGATCTTTTTCTTTTGATTGTCAACTGAATGATCATCTGTTGACCACGAAAAAGGTAGATTTTCAAGGTGGCATATTTCTCTCTCTGTGTGTGTGTTCATTTTCTAAACCTTTCTTTTGCAATAACCAACCCTTCTTCCCCAAAAGGAGAAAGAATCATCATACCATATGTTCTACAGACTTGTTTATTAATTAAAAGAAATGAGATAAATATTGAGATTGTGTATCAGTTTTTCTTGATTAACAGATTCTTATGTTCTATTTGTTTGTGGGCTTGCAGTGATACAACTGTGGGTGTTGCACACGATGCTTTCAACACGTTCTTTAGCGAGACTGGATCAGGAAAGCACGTACCCAGGGCTATATTTGTTGATCTTGAACCTACTGTCATTGATGAAGTCAGGACGGGTAGTTATCGCCAGCTTTTCCACCCTGAACAGCTTATATCCGGAAAGGAAGATGCCGCCAATAATTTCGCTAGAGGCCATTATACTGGTAAATGGACTTCTCACTTATATTTGTGTTTGATACATTATTTGGGTACCCTATGCAGCATGGTTTGCAAGTTTTAATTACATTAGCCTAGTGTTCCTTGCCTGGTGAGATCTTTTCATGTGATGCAATCTTTTACTGATTGTTATGTTGATTGTTATGGAGTGGCGATGATCATTAGATATCTTAATTACATCAGATAATTCACACCTTGTTCCTTTTTCCTTTTTAAAATTGTTGCCTGAGGTGTGTTTTTTGTTACAGTTTCTCCAAATCCTGCATAAGAATTCCAATTTCCAATAATGCATCTTTTTATTTTCCTTTTTTTTTTCCTCTCCCCAGTTGGCAAGGAGATTGTTGATCTGTGCCTGGACAGAGTGAGAAAGTTGGCCGATAACTGCACGGGCTTGCAAGGTTTTCTGGTCTTTAATGCTGTGGGTGGTGGTACGGGATCCGGGTTGGGTTCGTTGCTCCTCGAGAGATTGTCTGTAGATTACGGGAAAAAGTCAAAGCTCGGTTTCACCATTTACCCATCTCCCCAGGTGAAAACTTTTCAAATTTGGCTTTGGATTGTTAAGCTTGTTTGTTAATTAACCCGTTCAAGATGATTTTTTTTTTTAACCATAGTTAATTTTGATAAAGGTTGTATGGTTAGTTGTTAGTGGGATTTCAAGAATGTATTAAAATAATATTTGAAATAAAATTATTAAAATTGATTCGATGTAAAAGTAGCATATAATTTATCGGAAATGATAGGTAGTTAAAATTATGTGAGTGTATGAATAGTGAATCAAAGTTGAGATGATGTGTAAGAACGATTGGTTTGTATTATTTAAATATTTGAATAATGTTAAGGACAGTGGGTTTGAGTTAAAGTCGAGTTAGATTCTGAGTCTGAATTAAATGTGAGTAATTATGTGGTAAACAAACATGGTTTTATTTTTTATTCTGATTAACACAGGTGTCAACAGCAGTCGTGGAGCCGTACAACAGCGTCCTCTCGACCCACTCCCTTCTTGAGCACACAGACGTGTCGATCCTTTTAGACAACGAGGCTATTTACGACATTTGCCGCAGGTCATTAGATATCGAGCGCCCCACCTACACTAACCTCAACCGCCTCATCTCCCAAATCATATCCTCACTAACTACCTCTTTAAGGTTCGATGGCGCCATTAACGTGGACATAACCGAATTCCAGACGAACCTCGTCCCTTATCCTCGTATCCACTTCATGCTCTCGTCTTATGCCCCCGTGATATCATCCGCCAAAGCATATCACGAACAGCTGTCAATTCCTGAGATCACGAATGCAGTTTTCGAGCCTTCGAGCATGATGGCTAAATGCGACCCGAGGCACGGGAAATACATGGCGTGTTGCCTCATGTACCGTGGGGATGTTGTCCCGAAAGATGTTAATTCGGCTGTGGCCACCATTAAGACAAAGAGGACAGTCCAGTTTGTTGATTGGTAAGAACTTCAAATATGTCAATTGCAGAAAAACCCCTGAGAATCCCCCTTTCAGAACGCGCTGAGCCTAAGTGGCAGCTTCCCACGCTTCGTAATCTTACATGGCAAAATATTATGCTTCGTAATATGCCTTAGCTAAAAATTGTTAATTTTTATACCAAATAACTTAAGTTTGGATTACCATATATATACACATATTTAATATATTTAAATCATTCCATATAAATCTATATATTATGTTCTTTATATAATTTGTAATTAATCTTACTTTTCAAATGATGTGCTTTGTTCATATTATTCCCTTACGTGTTTTAAATAAAAATAATATAAATAAAATTAATGATGTATATAAATTAGTTTTCAGAATTTAAAATAATATTGTTAATTCACTTAGTTATTGATTATAAATTGTTATATTTTGTTCTTTATTTATTTTTTCCAACTTCAACCAAATACATAATTTTTTTTTTCATTTTGTATTGTACATTTAATTATTTTATCAACCACTCGCGTAGTACACGAGTATTGTACTAGTGAGAATTATTACAGAATAAGGTGATCTTGTTTTGGATTTTGCATTTACAGGTGTCCTACGGGATTTAAATGTGGAATAAACTATCAAGCTCCAACAGTGGTGCCTGGTGGGGATTTGGCTAAGGTGCAGAGGGCCGTTTGCATGATCAGCAATAATACGGCTGTGGCAGAAGTGTTTTCGCGTATAGACCACAAATTCGATCTCATGTATGCCAAACGGGCCTTTGTTCATTGGTATGTGGGTGAGGGAATGGAGGAAGGTGAGTTTAGCGAAGCCCGTGAGGATCTTGCTGCTCTTGAGAAGGATTATGAAGAAGTTGGTGCTGATGGTGTGGAGGATGATGAGGATGATGAAGCCCAAGACTATTGAATTTGAAATTTAATTGAATTGAATTAATGACCAAAAATCACCATTTCTCTTTACTATATGTTTTCTTTTAGATTATTGCGTTCCTTGTGTTTTAACCCCCTTTTTTTCTAAGTTTTTGGTGGATTTATCTGCGTTTGTGTGTGGATTTGGAGTTTATAGGTGAAGTTGTGTCAAGAGAAGTTATGTTATACAACTCTGTAGCATTCATTTGTCCACTAGACATTTTCGATTATAAATTATAGATTCTCTGCTGAGATCAAGTAAAAAAAATAACAATAATAGTAAAATATATATATTTTCTTTTTATTTAAATCAAACGATAATGTACTACTAAATAAAAAAGGTTACTGTGACCACAAGAGATGTACACAAACAGTTCCCTATTTATACAGCCTTGGCAACACCATACCAGAATACCATTTACCACAGTTAAAGACCTATCTAAACCATAATAACAATAATCTATAGAACTGTTTCCAACCACAGAAGTTGTTCCAGTTAAGATGCCTAAGCAATTTGTTTGTATGAAGCCAAATATACAAGACCTGCACTCTGACTCCCAACTTTCACCTGCAACATAACAATCAAGGTAGTTCAAAATTAAATAAAAAGTAAAAATCTTTGGAAAAAGATGATAAGAACTTCAAATATGTGAACAGATCACAACTGATTTTAACCATGGAAAATATAACATTAAAACACTTTCTACCAAATCTTAAAGTACCAGAAGTTACAGGATTAATTAAAAATATTACCTTACACTTTAGCCTAATTAAGGAAAAAACATTATCTCTTTTAAGATTACAAACACTCTCCTGACAACTGCTTATGTCTTGGAAATGTGCAACCTCAGGAGGATGATGTTTTCAAAATAATAGTGAGACATTTTGAAATTTTAGAACATGTGATGAACTTTTTGACAGTCAGTCAGGCCTAACCTGAGGAGTCGCTACTGCAGTTAATCCTTTAGTTTTTATTTAATAATCATCAATAAGCATAATAGGGAAGAAAACCCACCATTTAAACTCTTCAGAATCAGTCAAAATAATACAAGCCCACAGTTCCCAAATGTCCAAGTTTCAGGAAGATAACAAATTCTCAATTCACATTCTCATAACAAAACTATGCGAGACCTTGCTGTCCATAAGCACTACTTTCAGACTATACAACAATGACATTCACAGTTATGATGTATACATATATATCTATTTGGATTCAGATTAATCAGGCTATAATACAAAAAATTGTGACGTCGAGAAAAATACCGATAGGTCAATCAATCAGTTGCTGCCAAAGCATTGGAATCTCAAACTCCCAGTTTCAGGGTCCAAACTCTCGACATTCACTGTGGATAAGGGGAATGTAAAAAATGTTTTATATCCTATTTTTGATATAAATAATCCTAATACATCATTCATATCAATTTGACAAAGAAAAAAAACTGAAATTGGTAAAATTCACCCACCATGGGGATCAACAAAGTTGTTAGCATCCGCTCCTAGGAAGCCAGGCCTACAATAACTCTCCAGTAAATCTGAAATAGAATCAGAAACAGGGGAACTTATTCAAAACACAAACTCTTCAATAAATCTACTCCATATAAGAGGCTTGGACCCAAATCATGTACCAGACATACCATCTGAAGTGCAATTGAATGTAAAAAACAGAAGTAATAGCTCAAACTAAGGACATAAACACTAGGAAAAAAAAAACTACATTGAGATATTAACTACATCAAAGCAACTAAATTTCAAAGATCTGTAGTAAAAATACTTACTGACATTTTTCTCTTTTATAAAATGCATAGAAGTAAAAACCAACCTCAAAAGGGTATCTGTAAAATTTTAAATCTTGTCAAATTTGGAAAATCCTTCTCTTTATTAAGCTAAAACACAGGAGTATTTCCATATATACTCAAAGTACGACTATGTTCTAGTTTCCAGAATATGCTCCATAAAAATTGCGTGTTGATGTGTGTGTGTGTATGTGTATTATATATATAAACACACACACACACACAGAGAGAGAGAGAGAGAGAGAGACCAGAACCACCGGGAAAATCAGATCCAAACTCAGGAAGACTCATATTCTGCTGAAATTGCGCCAAGAATCCGAAAGACGAAGCATCCCCGCCGTCCAATAGCGTAGTCTCGTTTATGTGGTGAGCATTTGAATCGACGCTGCTGAAAGACGAGACAGATGGATCGGCCATCATGTTAGGACGCATCTCCACATAATTCCTGTTCGGACCAAAATCAAAAGGCTGTGAAACCCCACCATAACCACCACCACCACCCTCCGTCTTCACAATCTTCCCGTTCAACTGAGCCAGTCCCAGGTTTGCGTTTTGCGGCAAGAACATGCTTTGAGAAGGTGGCCCAATGGGAATGGGTCCCGCCATGCATGATCCAAGCATGGGCCCCACATCGTTCAACACTTTCACTGGCTGCATTTCATTTAGTTTCACTGGCCTTGGGTTACTGCTTGACGGGACACGCTGTGCTGTTGTAAGATTTTTGACATTATAGGCACAATGATATTAATGGGAAGGAATAAAAATACTACTCCCTCCTTTTTCTTTTTAAATGTCGTTTTGTGCTTTAGCACATAAATTGAGAAATTTTTTCTTGTCAATATTAGCCTTATTTAAAGCAAATTAACATTAATTAATTTCTTTCTTTTCAGCTTTTTTATGTTCTTTTAAGAGAGAAAACTCATCGTATTCCACAACTTTCCTCCCAAAACGTGTAGTGTATTAGTTAAATGAGGGTAACGATGGAAAAATATGTATAAAAGATCCAAAACTGTCATTTATTTGATTAATGGTCAATAAAAGCTAAAATGACAAATAAAAAGAATAGGAGCGAGTACTTCTGAATTTGAAACTCATTAGTTTCACAATTCACATATTACTTGAGTTTTAAGAATGTTGAGATTTCTAGTCCAATTCATCACATACACAGAAGGTGATTTCAGGATCCTCTTAATTTCTGGAGAACAGGTTATTGGAAAGCTTTTCACATTTTAGGACCTTATTATAACTTCTTCACACACAGTAACACACACAAAGCAACCAACTAAATCCTAAGAGACCATGAGCTCCTAAATGATAGTCTATAAGATGTTTTCCTATAAACTTGCAAGGTACATCGAAATTGATCGGCCAAGGACCAGGTGTCAAATTTAAGAATCAATTACACATTAGTTATTTACTTGAGAAACTTGAAATAAATGGCACAAATTAGTTATTTACTTGAGAAACTTGAAATAAATGGCACAAATTCTACTTTTCTAAACCTGTTTCTTCACATATATGGAATAACCATGTACTGTTTTTTTAAATAAAGTGAAAAAAGATCTCTTACAAGGTGAAACATGAGATCCATTAGATGGGAGCACAGGACCAATCCCGCTTAATCCAATTCGATGCATAAGCTCAACCTGCTCCGAAAGCAACCGGTTGAATTCCATTATTTGGTCCTTTACCAACAACTTGAGATAATAAGCCTTGAAAAACTCTTGATTTTCTTCTTCAAGCCTCTGCCAAACTAGAAAAGGACGCAAAAGTACTAAGAGGAATCTTATAATAAAAGTTAAATGACAAGATATTCAAACATAGCAAAGATACAAATGGAAAGCGATGAGAGATGAAAAACGTGCTTCAATACAAAGTGCAATACAAAGGCTAAGGGCATCAGGAAGCTTTTCAAGAAATGTCATCAAAAGCTACAAAAGAAATGGATCAGAACACTGAAAACAAGAAATTTTCTATTTTTAAATTTCGGATAACATTATTTCCACAGATTTCAACCATGAATTAAATGAATTTTTTTCCCTTTTGTTTTCTACTTTTGACATGTATATATAGTGTCCCAGAAAGTAAAAGCAACATCAGGAATAGTCAAGCTTTTAGCCAATATTTTTCATAGATAATGAAGAAACAGACAAGGATAATATTAGTCTCATCTCAATAAATAGTGAAACTTAGAAGTTGATCTCGAAGTCATGAATTCGTTTCTTTACAATGAAACATAACTTCATATTTTAAGACTGCTCAAGAAACATAACTCGGAAACATTATACAAAAAGAAAAACCCACTGAGGTCTGTCCTCATTGGACGTTTTCCTCTTTATCATTAACACTTAGGAAAAATAAACTAGCACTTAATTGCAAAACAAAATCATTTCTTAGGTTTATTTTTTTGTGACTTTGTAAAATATTGTGGAATTTTTCTGTAATTCGTCCCAACTTATTTCCACCAAACAAATACATTTCCTTCCCCAGCAGAATCACAAAAATTCATATTATCTCTCAATACTAATCCTACAACGCTATTTTACATCTAAAGTCCAATAAAAATGGATCAAGTTCAGGGGAAATAAATACACCTGGGACAACTGGGTAGCCAAGTGTCAAATATTCACAAATGCATGTATAGGCAGATATGTGTATTCAAAGAAAACAAAAGAACTGCTGAGAGATGAATAACATTTAAAGTAAGTATTCAACACATACGACATTCAAAGCTCTATAAGCAAAGATTATACTAATTAAAATGAGATAAAACAGCCTTACCTAGCTCAGTAAAACCTGGTTGAATGTTGTCCTGAACAAGAAGTGAGTTTATTACTTCCTTTTTGCTCATGTAATGCTGGAGACACTGTTCAATACGATTTTGCACCTGAGGTATATACAGCAAAATGGCTGTCATTATTTTCCAAACAATTGTTTTCTCCTCATAATCAACAAGGGAACTTCATTTCGACTAACAGTAATACAATATCGAGTGGGAAAACAGATCTTTCATAAAGAATAATTAGAAATTTGGGATAGAGAAATAACAAATCAGGAGAATCTATTTGTCAGCATGATAGCTTCTAATGCAATTTTATAAGGTAATTAAGTCACGATGGACCAACTCTATCATTATCATGCCTAAATGGCATGACATCTTATATTTCTCACCATATAAACTATTTAGGTTAATCTGTTTGATTTTATTACAAACAGTATCTCTTTTAAATTTCATGCAAAGCATTCTTCATTTTTTCGAATGACTGCCAATTACCAAACAATTACTTCTGCATATATATGTTCATAATTTTTGCCCAAAATCGTGATATCTTCTGCATCTCTGCAACATTTCCTCTTATATGGAAGAGAAAAATGTCTTTCTTTTCTTGGACTAGAAGTCATAAAATCATTCTCAATGCCAACCTCAAACCATCTAGAAATATAAGCAAAAAACTTTTTGTTCTATAGAAAGGCTTTCTAACAGGAAAAGGTCATTGCAACGTAAACACCAATGCCCAAATTTAAAACAAACATGTATTACTACTCTAAATATCCAGACTCCTGGAGACACTAGTTGAAGCCAATATTCAACTGACTACCAAAAGTTACGCATCAGATGTGTTCCAGACAGAATAGATAAAACTAAGCTTTAAAACTACACTCATCAAACTCCTCATTGATGGATATATCCATTGGAACTTCATCTTCTAATCTCAGTGACATAAGCTGGGCTGCTAATGATACAGACATAGAATCTATATGCAACCCACAAATTCATAAGCATTTCCAGAAATAAATCCGAAATCTATAACGCTCATTATCCATCCAAATCTGTAGAAAAACAATTATTCTTCATCTTCATATATCTTTTTCTAACACTACAGAAATGGAAAGGAAGGCACATTCACCCAAGTACATAATAAACTCAGAACCTTACCAATTGTATATCTTGATTTGAGAGTTTTCTTTCCTCCCCAGCAGGCATGTTTGTCATCGTGACCTTGTGTGCAATCAGAAAGATGTGTGACCAAATCTTCTTCAGACACAAAATGAGATCAATTTTCTCAATATACAAGTATCATAGCAGCCATGCAATGCAACAAAAACCAATACATGACTACAAATGCAGAGTACAAGAACCAGAGAAAATAAAAATACACAATAAGTTCATTAAACCACAGAGCGGTTAACAATAAATAACACCAACCAGTAACAGTGATTTAACACTAACCAAGTTTCATGACCTTAATACCGAAAAATTTAGTGTTCCTACAACAAATTCCTTGCTGCTAAAAGACTAAAACAGAGCAAGAAAAACCAAAAAACCATTTTTCCTACTCGCTT